GCCAATTCTTAATTATCATAGGGATGAATAAACAGAAAACAGTGGATCAGAACTTTCAGGAATCTTAGAATACCAGAGTGATAGAATTTTAAGTTCAGTCTACCTAGACAATCAGGACTTGAGGGGGCAAGATACTGGGAAAAGAAAATCAGAGGAAAGGTAGCTTGATATGCCTTTCTTTTCTTTTAGGAATTTGCTTATTCCCAAGATTTATAGAACAGGAGGCTAAAAATCTGAACGTCAGTACCAGTAGGATAGGTGGATGGATGAATGGATGGATGGATGGATGGATGGATGGATGGATGGATGGATGGGTGGATAGATGATGGATGGATGGATAGATGATAGATAGATAAGCTAATAAGGAATTGGCTCAGTCAGTTATGGAGACTGGAAGGCCAAAATCTGTCAAATCAATATCTAGTTTGAATCTGAATGCTGGAAAATGCTGGAAAACTAGGATCACTGATGTCTAGGGAAATCAGATTAAAGGCCTCTGAATGAAGAATTCTCCTAAATTCTCTCTTACTTTGATTATGGATCAGTGTTTTGTTTTATTCAGGGCTTCAGCTGATTGGGTAAAGCCTGCCACAGTATAAAAGGCAATCTGTTTTACTATGTGTACTAATCTAAATGTTCAACTCATCCTGAAACACCCAGAATAATATTTGACCAATTTATTTGAGTACTCCATAACCCAGCCAAGTTGACATAAAACTCATCATTACAGAACCCAAGTTAAAATATGTAGCTATAAGTCTAACAAGAAGAACTGTCATCAGTCTCATAGCATTTGACAGGGAGAAATTAAGAATTCCGTGTCTAGGGGCATGTGGGTGGTTTAGTCAGTTAAATGTCCAACTCTTGGTTTCGGCTCAGGTCATGATCTCATGGTTTCATGAGTTTAAGCCCCGCATCGGTTTCTGCACTGGCAGCATGGAGACTGCTTGGGGTTCTCTGGCTCCCTCTCCCTCTGCCCCTCCCCACTCACACTGTCTCTTTCTCTCTCAAAATAAATACGTAAAATTAAAAAAAAAAAGAGTTCTGTGTTTATTAAGGATAAGAAGTTCTGATAAACATGTTAGTCCACAAAACCCAGGACTAAATAAATCTAGCCTCAGACACCTCAGTTTCTGATTGGATCATGTTAAAATGCTTCTACACTCACTACCTGTCAGTTGAAAAGTAAAGCATTTCGGAGAAAGATATCATCTACAACAATAACAGATTTTCATACTCAGTGTTCGGCACTAAATAAAAAGGAAGAAATGACACACAAAAATAGACAAATAGAAAGCAAATATTAAATGGCAAATGTAAACCTAAATATGCCTGTTATTACTCTATATGTAAACAGCCTAAGTATTTTAATTAATGAGTAAAGATTGTCACAGTACATAAAATAACTCCCTATATGCAGACACACGTTATTACAAATATACCAGAAGTTGCAAAGTAAAATAATGGAAAATGATAAACCAGATTACACTAACCCAAAGAAAGCTGATGTTGCTCTTCTAATAGTTAGAAAATAGACTTCATTGCAAGAACATTATTAAAAGTACAGAGAAATATTTCATAATTATTATAAAATAATAGGCACTGAAACATTACTTTAAAACATAAAAGTAAACATTGGTGAGAAAGAAAGAAAGAGAGAGAGGGAGGGAGAGGAGAGGAGAGGAGAGGAGAGGGAAAGAAAGAAAGAGAGAGAGAAAGAGAAGAAAGAAAGAAAAAGAAAAGAAAGAAAGAAAGAAAGAAAGAAAGAAAGAAAGAAAGAAAGAAAGAAAGAAAGAAAGAAAGAAAGAAAGAAAGAGAGAGAGAAAGGCAAATCCACCACTATACTGGGTGATTTTAATAGGACTGTCAGTGCACAGTCCAATGCAGGGCTTGAACCCACAACTGGTTGTGAGATCATGATCTGAGCTGAAATCAAGATTTGGAAGCTTAACCAACTGAGCTACCAAAGGCACCCCTACAACTGAATTTTTAGAAGTTAAGGATATTTGGGTAGAATTGTACTGGTCTCAAAGTGGCATCAGATAATGATTATATTCAACCCTTCTGCTTTGCTGCTGAAAATCTTCCTATATTAGAGAGAAGGAAATACATTTATTTATCTTCAAAGTTTTAAGATAGTGACATAACTATTAATATTTTGAGTGTCCTTACGAGACCATTGCATGTTATCGAACAAAACAATAAAGCACATAATTTATTATACAATAATTCATACATATAGTATGTAAAGGGTATTAGAAATGTAACATTTTCCTAATAATTTTGATAGGGAAAAATCTGTTATAAGACTGCTGACAGAACTGATAGGGAAATACCTGTCCCTGACAGAAGACTCTCCTTCCGAGTTCTTCCCACCCTGCTTGTTCAGCGCCAAATTACTATTAATGAGGAATGTGGAAGTAACAGACTATAACTTATTCCCTCTGCTTATGCTCGGGACTCAGACATCTGGAGAAAGATCTCTCCTGAGCCCACCAGTGTAAAATAAATCTTTGCCTTCTAAGATCTCCAAGTGTCACTTGGTTCTTCTGCTGGGTTATCCAGACCAGATTCTGTAACAGTATTAGGGAGTTTGATGATATTGGTTGATGCATCAAGAAAGAAAGCCTTAAGAATATTATTCAAGGTCATGAGGGACTTCTGCTTCCTTAATGGTTTATTAGGTAATTCAAACTAAGTTTTATCCTAAAATCAATTTGAAAATATGGAAAAATATCTACTTGAATTTACTGATTGACAACAAGATGATGAAGGGAGACTTGGAAGAGAAAGATTAATGGAGTATACCAAAACCTGAGCAGGAATGCAAAATACAAAGAGACATCGAGATTTTGTGTATTACTTCATTTCTAAGACTCACCTCTTCCCTATTCTGGAAAATTTAGTGCTATTTTCACTTACATCATAAGTGATTCTTCAGGGAATCCTAGTATGCTGGGATAGAATGGTCTTAATCTATCTTCCATATCTCTTAAAATCTTATTTCAAATTCCTATATTTCCTATATTTCATATGTTTTATTCTGAATGATTTTCCTCATGTTTTATCCATTTCATGAATTTTTCTTCAGTTGTAATTAATGTGTACAATGAACATTTTAATAACTTTTTTTTTATCTTAAAAAGTTTAATTTTGGGGCGCCTGGGTGGCTTAGTCGGTTAAGCGTCCGACTTTCACTTAGGTCATGATCTCGCGGTTCGTGGGTTCGAGCCCCGCGTCGCGCTCTGTGCTGACTGCCAGCTCAGAGCCTGGAGCCTGTTTCAGTCTGTGACTCCCTCTCTCTCTGACCCTCCCCTGCTCACGCTGTCTCTCTCTCTCTCTCCTCTAGAAATAAATAAAACATTAAAAAAAAAAGTTTAATTTTGTTCTTTTACAAAATGCCTTTTTGCTTACACAATGCCATTCTCTGGTTTTACGATCTAATATATGAATTGTAATAGTTTCTTCTATGTTGTTGATTTTTTAAAAGTTCTTTGTTGACTTACCATCGCAGGGCTTTTTTCACTTGTGAGGTTTATTTTTTTACTGTGATTTTGTTATTAGGAGGATTTGCTTCCAATTCGAATTCCTTTTTTCCTCAATTCATACATAAGGTTTTAAATTTCTACTTTCTGGGGCACCTGGGTAGCTCAGTCGGTTCAGCATCCGACTTCAGCTCAGGTCATATCTTACGGTTCTCACAGTTCGTGGGTTCGAGCCCCTTGTCGGGCTCTGTGCTGACAGCTGGCTCAGAGCCTGGAGCCTGCTTCAGATTCTGTGTCTCCCTCTCTCTCTGACCCTCCCCTGCTCATGCTGTTTCCCTGTCTCAGAAATAAATAAAAAACATTAAAAAATAAATAAATAAGTTTATACTTTCCTGGATCCTAGCTGTTTTTCTAGCTGGGTATCAGACTTTACAATAATCTTTTACCTTTGGGTTCTGTACAGTTTATAAATGTATACTCTGTACTCACACAATTTATAGACCTAGTCTGTATCCAGTTCCACAGCTAGATTAGTGGGTAAAGTTTTTGTTGCCTCCATTTCACGTATAGGTGATCCTCCAAGTTCCTAGGCTTTATACAAGAAGGCTCAATTCCAGTTTTTCATCTTGAATGGTCTTACGTCTCATCTCCTTTTCCCACATGTATGACAAACCCTGGAATTCAACCCCTTAGGCCTTTATCCTAGTTTGTTATCACTGTGAATCACTTTGGCTTCAGCAGTGACCATTTAAAATCCCTCTTTATTTCTGGACTTTAAAATTCAATCTCAGATATCCATTCAACCAAAAAGATAACTATTCAGCCTTTCTATGGATTTGAAATGCAGGAGCAGACATCCTTGCATATCACCTTAACCTTATAGACCTGATGTTTCCCTTAAGAAGCTTCTCAATTTCATAAATATATATTATCTATGATAGATATATAATATCTATATGTTCTCATTATATTCTAATAATTTACAATAAGTATTCTAGTGTAACATTTGGCACACTAATTATTTATCTTTTACATAATAAGCTACAACACCCTACACATAGGTATATATATATGCCAGTGATTTATGTACTGCATAACACTGTGTTCATTTTCATTATTACTACCAATAAATGATGATAGTAAAATAAGTAGCAGACCAATATGTAAGTACTATTTTCTTCACTCTTTCACAAATATTTATTGAATGGCTACCCTGTTTCAGGCATTATTCTATGCACTTCAAATGAATCAGTGGATAAAACAGAAGATCTATTCTTATAAGTTATTTTCTTCATGCTATTGAGAATATGGAAATTTTTTCTTGCTCTGGGAAGGTAACATTGGGCAGAAGTATGACACCCATGCAAGACTGTTTAGATCCCCTTTTTTCATAGACTCGAGGTTTGACCTGCAGTCAATGCTTTTGCAGACTCCTAGACTACTCCTGTCACAATCACTGGTACTTTTGTGTTGATGAATGATAATGAAGTTTAAGTTACCTCCATATTTTTATAGCTTCGACAATGGAGTACTTTTGGAACCCTGGAAGTTACAGCTCAGACTGAATTAGAAACAAAGGAGTATTCAGTGATCACAGAAGAAGATTGTGAAATTCTTAAAATCCCAGCAAAGGATTTTGCAAGGTTAAAATCGGTATGATCATATCTAATCTTTTATTAACACAGTAGATGTATAAATTCAAGCCAAGTTTTGCCTCTAGACAGAAGATGCCATATTTTTTGTATTTTTTAATATAAGTTAACTTGGAGACAATAAAAATATAGTTTATTTGATGAACATTACTTAAGCTTCTGAAGATGATGGGTAGTTGAAATAGAAAGAAAAGTCTCTATGAATATATTTTCTGTGTATTTTAGTTTCTCATGAATTTCAAATCCATTCATTTATGCATTCATTTATTCATGTATTCATTCAACAAATATGTTTTGGGTGTCAACAGCATGTCATGTGTTAGGGATACCAGACAATCAGAGACAGATCTCTAAATCTGTACAGTCCACCTGAAAAAAAAAAAACCAGTTGGGAATAATTGGCATGCTATTTCATTGTTTTAATAGACATTAAAAACCCAGAGCTGCATGAATAGGTGATCACAACTTAATTCTGATCCCCTAATTCTGCTACATTAAGATAATTTATTTACTTCAAGTTTACTAACTTATTCTCCTCCAAATACAGAATTTCCCCTTTTTAATTTTTTATTTCTCCTCACCTGATGACAAAGAAAGTTCGTATAAATGGCTGCATCAAAAGGCCCCCATTTTCCTGCTCTGCCAGCTTTTCTTGAAAGAATCTAAATCTGTTGCCAGTGCAACAGGACATGGCATCAGCTACAGTTGGGTGCTCTGGTTGGAGGGAGATGAGGAGTCATACATCTTCTTGATTTAGGTCTCTAAAAATAGTCAGTATTTCTTTTGATACAGTAATCTCAGTGTCAGTGGTACAGATGACTATCTCAAAATTCAACTTCCTTCCAAATCCCTGGATTCAGAGTGGGTAACTTCTAACAATATTTTGTATGTTTTATTTTTAAAATATAAGCATCAATTATTTGATATTATCACATACAACATTTGGGTTTAGTCTGGATTGTGACAGGTTTTTTTTTAATACTAAAATACTTATGGAAGTCTAAAAATATTGTGAAAGGTGGGAAAATATAATTTTAGCAGCACACCAGAAGACTAAAATTTCAATATGGTTATGTGGTCATAGAATGATGCTCCTATAAAATATAAATGTATTTTATGCTATACAACCTTTATTTTTCTGTTATGCCATTTATCTCTCTGCTATACATTTCTCCTTTTTAAATGACTTTTTCAGGAAAAAATAAAACTTGAAAATAAGGAAAAGATGAAATTAATTCGTAATTGTCCATATTATGAGGAGTGGCCTACTTTATCCATATGTGAGCTAGTTGCACTCATTAAATGGAAAAAATTTCCTCCAGGTCATGGTGAGTTTAATGCAATTTTGAATCATTTTCTTTATATAACATATTATTGCAATTTATAATTTTTTTTAGTTTTAATGTTTGATACAACATTTCTTCATATTATTTTACTTAGTGTACTTAAGCACATTAAGTTACTTAATGTGACCTTTTAATTAGACATTTAGATTACTGCCTGATTTTTTATTAAAAAATCATTCTGTATTGGCTTGAAGTTCTCAGGACTGGCCTTATTTCCACACCCCCCTATTTCCTCATGGCCCTGCCCTTCTTGTTCCATTTTCCTTACCGTCAACGTAAAGACGAAAGAAGGAGAAATGCAGGAGAAATTATATCCATTTTTCCTGTTCTGATTGAACACCTACTTAAGCATCAAGTTTCCTGATCTGTACCTGTGGTACACATTATCAGTGGACAATACAGAGAGAAGGTGAGGCTGAGATAAGGAGTAGCAGCAGTGAAGCTACCATCATGTCCAATATTCAGCACAACAGGGATGTGTGGATTTCCTGGTTACATGTACAAAAAATGTGTAGGTGGCATTAAGTCATTTTGTACAATTGTTTCTGTCTATGAGAGCTCATTAGTAAGAGATGTCACCTGCTGTGGACTGAATGTTTATGTTTCCCAAAATTAATATTTTGAAGCCCTAATCCCCAATATGATGCTATTTAGAGGTGAGGCCTTTGATAATTGATCAAGTCACCTGAGTGGAGCCCTCATGTATGGTATTAGTGCCTTTATAGGAAGTGACATGAGAGAGATGATCTCTCTCACTTGGCCATAACTCAGCCATATGGGGATAAAAGAAGGCAGCTGTCAGTAAATAAGAAAGAGGGATCTTATCGAACACTGAATCTACTGGTATCTATACCTTGGACTTCACAGTATCCACAGTATAGTATTTTGTTATAGCACCCCAAACTGATTTAAGACACTGATACAAGAGGAACTGTGGTAGATAGGTCAGAGCAGACTTAGATCTCGTCCAGTAAGGAATCCTACTTCCCAATAAGAGATAATAGAGAGAGGTTTGCAGCCTTCCCTGGCTTTTCTCTTAGTCAAACAGTGGAGTATCTAATACCTATGATTATAATGGAAGAGATAGTGTTTGAAAGAAATACTTCCATTTCAAGCTTGCAGCTGTAAGTATAGTGAAGGATACGACATTAGGAGGAGGAGAATATTTCTGAATTAAACTTAAAATTCTAAAAAGAATGAGTCTGAGTTGCAAATTCCATAATGTGTCTGTTAATGATAAAAACATGGTGAAGTTAAGAAAAAACTGGCTAAGATGTCCTTTGAAGGAGTCAAGATATAATAGAAAAGTAAAGTACAGCATAACACCAATAAAGAGGGTTGTTTTATAAGAAAAAAAGTAAATATGACTACCGGCAAGGTTATGCTTCAAAACCTGAGATTCTCTTATAAACTTGGTAAATTTGGTGAGGGACACCTAGGTGACTTTGTCAGTTAAGTGTCTGATTCTTGGTTTCAACGCAGGTCATGATCTGACAGTTCATGGGTTCAAGCCCTGTGTCAGGCTCTGGGCTGACACCATGGAGCTGTTTGGGATTCTCTTTCTGTCTTTCTCTCTGCCCCTCTCCTGATCGTGTGCTCTCTTTCTTTCTCTCTCTTTCAAAAATAAACATTAAAAGAATAATTTGGTGAGATTTTAACCCTTTACTATATTTGCTCCAAATTTATTTCCAGTGTTTATTTTTATATTTTATTTATACATTTTTGAAATACAGTGTTTAACCCATATTTAGCCAAATACATATTTTTTCATGCTTATAAAAATTGAATTTTAGAGGTATCATGACACATTTTTTTTCTAATGTGTTATTAATGCCATTTTTGACCAACAGTATATATAAGAAAGCAAGTAGTAAACTGACTTGGGAAAAATTAGGAATTGAACATTTCTAAATTCAGCATATTTTATTGAATAGAAATATATATTTTTTAATATGTATGTTTTGATTTATCATGAGTTCCTCTTTTTGTATTAGAAATACCACATTTTAGTCAATGCCTCAATTCTAAGACTATTTTGTGTAAAAAATAATACTTCACTCTTGCCCAAATGTCAGAACATTAATATTGTTAGGTGTATATGAGGGGAATAATTATGAGCTTTTAATGTATTTGGTTACTAATAATGACTAATATGTATCCCAGTCTAAAATATCAACCTAAGATATTTATATTAAGCATCAGAATGTTAAGAAAGTACTGACTTGATGCAATTTTTTAGACTAATGCTGGTTTCAAGTTCCTTTTAGTAAAAGTCTTTAAAAATAATGGTGGAGGGGCATGTGGGTGTCTCAGTTGGTTAAGCATCCAACTTCAGCTCAGGTCATGATCTCACAGCTCATGATTTTGAGCCCCGCATTGGGCTCAGTGGTGACAGCTCAGAGCCTGGAGCCTGCTTTGGATTCTGTGTCTCCCTCTCTCTCTGCCCCTTCCCCACTCATGCTCTCTCTGTCTCTCTCAAAAATCAATATTTAAAAAAAAATTTTTAAATAAGAGAAACAAATAAGAATAATGGTGGAATTATTGCATTGGACAGTCTGTGATTATATTGAATAAGTCAAAAGTAGCATTATTTTGCCACTGATTTCCAAATATAAATATGTTGTGCTTACATTTATACAGTCTTAAAAATCATTTGTTCTCCTTAGAGAAGAATGACAATTACAATAAATGATCTTCAAAGTCCCTTTCAGCCATGAAATACTGTGGTTCTCTTAAATAAACATACCTAGGTGAAGAATAAGTTCTGTCAACCTAATCAAATTTTCTTTTATGGTAGTGACAAACTTGATATATCAAAAAGAAGCATTAAATGTAATACTTCTCAACTTTACTCAAAATTTATTTTGAGTTTTTATCAGAATATGTAGAGACTCTTGCTCAAATTATACTTTTATTATTTAGGTTTAACATTAACACCAGTATGATTTCCAAAGCATAATTATGTGTGTTTTGGTCTTTTAAGAATGTATATTGGATGAAATTTCAGAGGGATTTAGTTAATTATTCAAAAGCTTGATAGAATTTAGGATTAATCTTTGGCAATAAGTACAGCTTATTTCTGGCTCTACTTCCTTTGTTAATTTCCTAAGTCTTCTTATTTAAGCTTCACATGCCTACGGATCCTGACTGTAATAGATGTGTACAATGTTGCTTATAATTTGGTCATATCTGGTTCTTATCACAGCAATTAAAGTTTTCACAGGTATGAAATATGACTTCGAAATATGACTGGCTGGAAAATTACAACCAGCTTATTTCACTAATCATCCAGTTTCTGAGGTTATTGTGTATAAGGAAAAAAATAATAAATTAAGTTGGCATCAATGAACTATTTATGTATATTTTATTGTTATCCAACCTATATCAGCATGCTCTGTCTTTTCTTGGTAAAATTTGATATAGCAAACAATAACTAGAGATACTTTTTAAAAAAGTGGTAATCAACTTAGTTCGGAAAGATAAAATATGCCATTATACTAATAGTAAAAAAGATATTTAGTCTTTGCAAGCCAAAAGTGGAGAGTTTCAGACACAGGATATGTACTTGAAAATTCTACCTAATAGAAGTGTGAAGTTCTGGGCTCTGAGTTCCAGTAAGTTTTTGGCTTCCGTCTTTTACGGATCAGATAATTCTGTAAGGTTTTAAATTCTTAGCCCCAGTGCACACTTTTAAGCATCCCAGAAACAAGTTGATGCTCAGAAGTGCTATTGATCCTGATTATTTTCTTCTTCTTATTTCTTTTTTATGGGTATTTTTTGCATTAAGTAGATATTTTCTAGTGTAATATATTAATTCATTTAATAATTTATTAATAGACTTCACACAACAAAAGTGAGCCAAAAGTACAGATATTTCACATATACCCCCTATCCCCAGTCTACATAGCATTACCCACTTTTTTTTCATTATTTTTTAAATATAATTTATTGTCAAGTTAGCTAGCATACAGTGTATACAGTGTGCTCTTGGCTTAAGGAGTAGATTCCCATGTTTCATTGCTTTCATATAATACCCATTGCTCATCCCAACAAGTGCCCTCCTTAATGCCCATCACCCATTTCCCCCTCTTCTCTGTCACCCTCATCGACCCTCAGTTTGTTCTCTGTATTTAAAAGTATCTTATGGTTTGCCTCCCTCTCTGTTTGAAACTGATTTTTCCCCTTCCTTTCGCCCATGGTCTTCTGTTAAGTTTCTCAAGATCACATATGAGTGAAAACATATGGTAACTGTCTTTCTCGGACTGACTTATTTCACTTAGCATAATACCGTCCAGTTCCATCCACATTATTGTAAATGGAAAGATTTCATTCTTTCCCATTGCTAAATTGTATTCCATTGTATATATAAGCCCCATCTTCTTTATCCATTCATTAATTGATGGACATTTGGGCTCTTTCCATAATTTGGCTATTATTGATAGTGCTGCTATAAACATTGAGTCCATGTGCCCCTATGAATCAGCACTCCCCATTGAGGATGATATTAGCTGTGGGCTTTTCTTATATGGCTTTTATGATGTTAAGGTATGTTCCTTCTATCCTGAATTTCTTGAGAGTTTTTATTAAGAAATGATGCTATATTTTGTCAAATGCTTTTTCTGCATATTGATTGGATCATGTGCTTCTCATCCTTTCTTCTATTAATGTGATGTATCACATTGATTAAAACACTTCAGCTTTTAGATTCGTTGATGTGTTCTACTGTTTTTCGTTTGGTTTCTTTTCTGTTCTGCTTCTAGTTCCTTAAGTGTGTGGTTAGGTTTTGCATTTGGGATTTTTCTTGTTTCTTGAGTTAGCCCTGAATTGCAATGTATTTTCCTCTTACGACTGCCTTTGTTGCATCCCAAAGGGTTTGGACTGTTGTGTTTTCATTTTCATTTGCTTCCATATATTTTTAATTAATTTTTAATTGCCTGGTTGACCCATTCATTCTTTAGTAGTATGTTCTTTAACCTCCAAGA